AGTAGTAGTAGTAGTCGGAGGAGGAGGAGGAGGAGTAGGACTAGTAGGAGTAGTAGTAGTAGTAGTAGTAGCAGCAGCAGCAGTAGTACTAGTAGCAGTAGTATTAGGAGTGCTTGACCTGAACAAGCAGCAACATTATTCCGCTTACGCTTGGTAAACAATTCCTCTACACTTCGAATGCATGGTACACAAGAGCTTTTACAAAGGGCCTCCTTAAAGATCCTTAAGCCAATCCTTGGCAACTTCCACCCATTCCTGAGCGATACCCGTTCTTTAAGTGCAAACTACGTTGACATTGATCGCAAGTTCAGGTCCGGAGCCGAGCCCTCGCTGCTGGCTTTGAGGCGAAGACTGCGGGCATCGCGCTAAGGAATACGGAGTTGAGGGCTTCGGGTTAATGGCAGCTTGTTGCAACTCCCTCGCATTGTAGAGATTGACGATTTTGGGTGGCGGGAAGAGACAAGGATCCCTTAGTTTGCTATCCGCTAGGAGGTAGAGAGTGGGATTCGTGGATTTGGGTTGAAAACTTCCAGTGTTTTGCGTTTTGCTTCGCCCTAACCAGAGCCTTGTTTGATACTGGTGGTGGCTTGATGAGTACATACCACGTCTTGAATATTCCCTTGCAGTGGGGGGTCCCGTGACATAGATTCCCTGAAGCATCAGAAAGCTCTCCGAAGCATGTGAGCTATAGTCAAAACTCCTTACAGGGGGCTATTTAAGGGGTTATATAGGGGAGTAATATAGGGCTTATTGGGGGGATCCTTTGAGTTCAGACTGTAGCTCATATGCTTGGGCTTAGGCGCTAGTGGCTGACTGTTTAAGGCAGGACTCCGCCCAAAGCAGGCATTTTGGTCTGACAAAAGTCGTTTCCAGCCTAAACGCCTATCCTCGAACCATCTCGAAATCCACCAGACTTGCTAGGGTTGAGTTTAGGGTTTATAGGGTTTAGGGTATATTATACAGGGATTATATGAGATCATATTCCGTTATTTCCTACTACTCACCAGTAAGTAGATCACAGATTAGAAATTTGAGGTTTAGTGGGCTTTCAGGCAAGCAAGGCCTAAGCCATATATCCGACGCTCCGAAGCTTACTCGTGGTTAATAGGAAACCTGGGAATGTACTCAGAAAGTATGAAATAATCCCTACACCCTACACCCTACTTACTAAATAATCTCTATGTAATTAGCATATGCCCTTATTGCCTACTAACCACCTAATCCAGAAACCAAGGCAAGATGTCCCACTACCAGGACACCGAAGCTGGAGGCGGAGTTAATCTCTCCTCTAATGTAAGGTTTAGGCTTTCTTCTTCAAAGGGACCCCTGTTTCCTGTGGATATGCATATAAAGGTGCGGGATTTGAATTTATTTAGGGCTCCTTTCGGAATTCTTAGATATTGTGGGCCGTATTAAATGGGTGACCTTTTAGAAACCATGTTTTTAACGTGCTTAAACACAGATCCTTGTTCTTGTAGGTAAGGACCTTACTAGCTTACAGAGATGAACCCAGAGTATTGGAGAACGCTTTGCTGGGTTCTAGTGTGGCAACACCTCGTTTTCATTACACATGGTGCGCAAAGAGGCCTTCTTTGTCATCTTCTTATGCATAGCATCCACCGTTTTGTGCTTCTTAGAGTCCTTCTTGAGGCATTTCAGCTTCGGCACCAACAGCTGCTATTACCGAAGGAACCCACAAGGATCCATTTGTTCCAGAAGCCTTGGGGCCAGTGCACCAGCTGCTTAAGAAGGAGCAAGACTCGGGCACTGAGTGCTGCGGAAATAGGAAATATCCAAATAGATCATATAGGGACTATAGTAGAGGGGCTATATAGGGGTAATGTGGGGAATGAGGGGATATATTATGTGTGGATTATATTCCCTTCATTATTCCCTAGGGGAAGGAAGGTCCAAGAGATCAGCGCTGGACATGCAAGAGTTTCCTAAATGGTTCCTATCTGCTCCTCAAGAGGAACTCCTCGCATCCCCTAGTACTTGTTGAAATCACACAGTCCTAAGACCGCATGAAGCCATCTAATACACCAAAATGAAGCCCAAGCAGCCCACGAAGGCAAGCAGCCCCTTAATTAGGGGCCTGGGCATTTAGGTCAGGGGTTTCGGGTTTAGGGAGATTATGGGACGTGTCTTTGCAGGTCAGTATAGACATGCTATTTTGAGCAGCCTGTGTAGCCTGAGCCTGCCAGGCAACGCAGAAGCCGAGTGGAAGAAGATCCTGGCTGAACTTGCGCCGCAGGAGCCTGACGCAGATTCAGGCGCAGATTTGGGCTTTAGGTATGGGTCTAGACCCAAGTTTAGGGGTTTGAGGAGTTAGGATGGAGGGAATGACAGTTTGGGGGTGTAGGGCTTATGGTTTGGGGCTTTCTGGTTCATCAACTCATGAGGTTCAGGATGCGCAGGGATATTTTGGAGCTGAGGGTTTCGGGTCTTTACCTCGGAGTCTCGGAGCCACCTGACCTGTTCTGCATGCAAACTGAGAGGTTTCAGAGTCAGACACCCAAGGGCCTAACATGGAGACCCAAAGAGCCCTATAAGAAGCACTGCCCTGCCGAAAGAGCGCAAGAAGGAGTTTCATGTTAGTCTGAAGGGTCCAGGTACAAAGGTACAAAGTCCAAGGCTGAGGATTTTGGGTTCAGTTTTTGGGTCAAGGAAGGGTCATGCCAGCAGGCCACCCCCGCAAACACTATCGAACCCTCAACCTGTGTATTTTTTTTTGCGCAACAGGTACCTTGGATGTTGCTGCCCGGGCCGTCCAGGGCGTCCCTCGACACTGCATGTTATTTCACCCCAAAAAAGGTGCGCTAGTTACGTGCATTGGGTGCTGGGCAAGAACCCCCTTCTTTCAGACTTCAAGCTTCCCCTATTTCCTTCACGTGCGGTTTTGCAATGCGGGCGGAGTCCATAAGCGAGGTTTGAGATAGAAACACTTGGTGGGCAATACGGTCCTCATCTCTTGGCTTTGGGTTTAGGGTTTAGGGGGTAGTTTCCCAAAATAGGGGGACCCCAATATAGCCCCCAATATACTATAGTCCTTATTATGGGGACCCCTAAAAAGGTACCCCTAATTTGAGGGAACCCCCATTTAAGTTTTAGGTAAGCCCTG